TAGTGTTAGCCTCAAATAATAAGTTTGTGCAAGCGGTAATTAATTCCGATATTTGACTCCTAAGAAAACCATGACTAATTTTCTTTGTACAACATGCCCTTGCTTTTAAAGATGGTGGAGTCCTTACATGATTGGATTCACTGTGTTCATTTATCTCATCTGTTGCTCTTTGAATCGGTTCATTTTAACTCTCTCAAGAGGTAATTAATTCCGATATTTGACTCCTAAGAAAAGCATGACTAATTTTCTTTGTATGACATGCCCTTGCTTTTAAAGAGGGTGGAGTCCTTACATGATTAGATTCACCGTGTTCATTTATCTTCTGTGTTGCTCTTTTAATCGATTCCTTTTAACTCTCTCTAGGTTCTTGAGAGTCTTGAGAGCCTAGGAATGCCCACTAGTCGCAACAACTCTATTGAACATTTGATCAAACTTCTCCTCTCATTTAAGCTCGATTCCACAAAATCTAAATTTTTTAGCATTTGACACATGTTGTTAACAAAAACGAAGATAAAAATCATTCATAATACTTCTACTTGTAACTTAACTAAGCAATTAAATATGATAAAATTTTATATTTACCTGTAGCTTCTCCGTCCACCATTCTGTAGATGCATCTATGGTGTTTTAAACTGGATCCTAACCAAGTTTGGTGGATCATCTTTTGAGTTCTTTCCAAAATTTTCAAACTTTTTTTAAAGTGTCCCATTTGTTTTTTCAATTAATTTCTGTCATACAATCTCCCTGTTCTCTCTTGAAAATTTTTTGTGATGTTTTGACAAACTTCTTTGTTGGAATGTGTTGTCGCCCTACTTCCTATAACTCAGTTTTTCTCAAGCAAATGTTTGAAAAAGACATTTTTTTTTCTTTCTCCCATATAGCTGATGATGCGCTATGTTGGAATGTGTTGTCGCCCTACTTCCTATAACTCTGTTTTTCTCAAGCAAATGTTTGAAAAAGACTTTTTTTCTTTCTCCCATATAGCTGATGATGCGCTCTCTTATATTGTCCATTTTTATTGTATCTACCACCTTGAGATACTTTTGAAAATGATATGTTGATGATAAAAGATTAGAAGATATTGAACATAAAACTTTATGTCATATGAACATTACTGCTTTCATCAATATGCAACATAAATTCACATATTTGCACACCATGCAATTACTACAAATTCACATGTGCAACATAAATTCCCAAAGAAGACTAGTGGATATTGCAAGTGTGAAGCAAGAAATTGAAAGGAGATAACAAGACTCTAATTTTAGAAAGTAACTTTAGGTTAAATTCACCTTTTTATGCATAACTTCTTCACACCAAACTATTGGACCCGTAAATATGGAACATTAGGAGAAGGGGAAGGGCTATATATATATATATATATTTAAAGGAATTGTGCATTTTAAACGTCAACTCCCCTCAAAATCACTTCAAATAAAATAACAATGGTTGAAGCTTGCATATACAAAATCCTCTCGCATACAACTGAAATAAAAGGGATACCCACAATCATACCATAGAAATTTGAGCAGAAAAACATTTACATCAGCCGCTCTACCAATCTATCCAAAAATCAAGGGGTATTTACATATGTACAAGCCAATTCCCGTCGGTTCGCATTATCTAAAATCTAAACGTTCCTTTTTTTTTTCAAAAAGAAAAACCATTATACCATCCATATCTTTCATACCCCAGGAAAATAACATCATCCGACCTTTAAACAGAGAAACAAACCAATTCTAGCATAGGCAGGTCTCCACCATTCAAAACAATAGAAGTTTTCTGTCTTATAGATGTAAACACATTTGAATTGACTGGTATGTGTGCAAATCTTCCTCAAAAAATAGATTAACTTGCATTTATTCCATAAATCAGTAAAATCTGTAGAGGAACCTTCTGCATATGCCCGAACTCCTTGTAAAAAAAAAACTAATTTTTTTCCCTCATCTCAACATCAATGGTGAAATAGAATAGTAATGTCTTTCTCCTCAACAAAAAATTATGTCTTTTAGGAAGAACTTAGAAGAAGAGTAACGTCGAGAAAATGTAGGAGAAAGGAAAGGGTTTAGTAGAAGAATATAGGAGAAGGGGAATTGAGATTCCTGCTTTCATGTATGTGCATTTTTGCAAGGATCATACATGCGGCGAAACGGAGATGATAAATGCCGAAGCAGGCAAGGCTAGCAGGGCAAGCCTTCTCGAGTGGCTATGGCTTGATGGAACGAGGCAGAGATCGAGGGTATTCACATGACTGTTTTTTTGCGAACCACGGAGTGCACCACACGATCCGCGGTTGCGACCACGGGATGGAAAACGGACGAAACAAACACCTATAAATCTGCGTTTTTATCAAAAGCTGGTTTCAAAAGCCCAAACAAAGGGGGCCTTAGCTGATGCTAATGAAATCTCTAAGATGAAAATTTTGCTTGAAGATACCTTGGCATGTGTTGCGCATTGAACAATCCATAATTCAAATTAATAAATAATGTTATTTCATCTGATTTGGCTAAATTAGGCTATATTACGAACCAACATGGAGCCTGGGATGCACCCATGTCATGATGAGGATACCCTAGTTGAAGACCATTATCAAGATAGCTGCTAACTTGCTTCACTATGCGAGAGCTCAATATAGTGAAGTAGCCTAACTATAAAAGTGGTCACCATCATTTAGAAATTTCAAAGTTCGTTGTGAGCATGGGGAGCAGGGAACTAGAGTCTCTCTCAACCTCTTACATGACTCAACTTGATTTTTCTAGTTTCTTATGATAATAGGTCTATTCTGCATAAGTTTATGCAGGTTGGTATTCTTTTTGTTCGAATTTTATTAGTTCTACACATTTGTTGTGTTTTTCATGCTTTTTTCTAAAGTGACGTTGGGTGGTGCACCAAGCATTTTGAAAGAGGACCTTCCTATCATATGCTAAGAGAATTGAGTTCGGATTCTTAGAGTGATCCTCTACGACGGTAAGATTGACTAAGCCATGTGGGGCAGATGCAAGTTTGTGTAGCACTTAACTTTGAAGGAAAGAAAAATTCCTAACCCATTGGCTAACGTTTGACCTCATTAATGTTTCAGTAAGTGAAGGTGAACTCCCTATAATGTCAATATGGGAGGAAGTTTTATTGGAAGGCGTACACATTTTTTGGTAGCACTTTTTTTTTTTTTCTGGCGAGAATCTCTTAGTCTAGAAAAGAAATTCAACTTATAGGCTCCTGTGGATTAAAGTTTCTTAAGAAATTTTAACCACCTTTCTCTCTATATGTGTGTGCGCATCTGCAGAATTTTAAAAGTCGATTAGTTAAATGTAAAATTTATTAATATCGTCTTAAAAAAAGTTATATTCAGACAAATTCTTGTCCGCGTCACTTGATATCATAACCTATGTGGTAGAAATTATGCCACGTAAGCACGATCTCGTCTTTTTACTTTTTTATTAGGTAGTCACGTAATCACTCTTCTCCTCTTCAATTATTCTTTTAGTACAAGCTAACTTGCCTTCCACCAATCTAATTAAACCAGCCAACCCCATTATTTATCTCTCTTCTATGTATACCAGCCCCATCACTTTCATATTCTCTCACACAATAAAAACACAATTCATACTCACCCTACATCTTTCAATTTAATTAATTAGCTTCACTTTTGGTGAAGTCTTTAAGCCTTTTTTTTCTTACTTCAAGTGTAGTTCTATTGAAGTTCACTTATTTATTTTACATGTAATTTTGATCATAGATGTTAGTTTTGTCCATATCACTTAAATTTTCATTTAAAACATCATATTAGTTTTTTTTTTTCCTAAGAATTATTTTGAATTTTGAACATTTATATTAAATGCTATTTTTATCTAATCATTATTCATATTAAAATCAGAACATTACATCATATTTTTTATGAGATATTTGAATGTTTAAATATTATAAAAAAATTTGAAGAATGACCTATTTATAATTGAGTATTGTTACAATGACTCACAATTAGCTAACTAAGGCAATGACAAACTTGTAATTTCATAGAAGCTGTTAAAGAATCATAGAAGCTTTCAATTGGTGAACCGGGTCTACTTGGGAAGGCTCATTATGTTATAAATAGCGAGGGAGGCTTGTATAGAGGGGAACAAAAAGAAAGCAAATCAATTGGTTAGAGAAAGAAGAGGAGTGGCTTCAAGAATTGAGGGGGAGGATCTTGGAGATCTCGTGTTGAGGTGATTCGAGAGAGAGATCGTGACAAGATGAGAGCTCATTGATCTTGGAGATCTTGTATCGAGGAGATTTGAGAGAGAGATCAGGGCAAGATGAGAGCTCATTCCTCAATGTAAAAGCCTTATAATTCTTCTTTATTACCTTAGTGGATTTGATTGTTGATTTCCCTCCCATGGATTTAGGTTTAATTGAGTATTTTTATTTTTAGTTTAGATAGAATAAATTTGTTTGATTACACATTTTTTGGTAAGCCTTCTTTGACTGATCCTTTTCTTTTCCAGAATGCTGCCTGTTTACTATGTTGGTGTTCTCTCAATTTCTTCCCCGGGATTTCCTAAAAAATATTATCTTTCTAGTAAATAATATATTGTTTATTAAAGTCACTTGGTCGTTGGTCCTGAATTAAAAATTCTGATCTTATTTTTATTTGCATTTTGGATTTAATATTTGTATGCATATACAATTTACCATAACCATCTTTTGATTTTTAATGGATCCAGAGAACTTGTGGTTCTTTTGATCTTTGTAATTTAAGGGATTTTGTTCTTAGGCATATCTTTGTTTTTTCAAGAACAATTTAATGGCTTTTTCTCCTCGCAATGTGCAAGTCTTCTGTGGCTAGAGTATTAAAAACATGGTCGAGTAAATATTCAATCTCAAGAATGATTTAGCGCAGAAGTGGCAGTGCATTATGACATCCACTGCAACTTCAGCGCCAAATCATTCTTCCTTTAAGAGCTTTAATATTCACATTCAGTTCTGAAACCTGTTTTTTTTTCCTCCTCATTTTACTACAGCAGAGGAAACTGCAAAGGAGACTACTTCCAAGGCAATTACCGGCGAAAGGAAAAACGACGGCATTCATTAAACTGATCGTTCATTGGTCATTGGGCTGGCTTCCTCTAATAAAACAGTAAAAAATTCATGCTGGTTCTATGTGTTATGTTGTTACAAATTTTAAGTATTGCAAAATTAGGGATTCGTGACTGGCTGAAGCAGCAAAATAGCGTTTTAGGGTTCTTGCCCATCATTTTTTCTTTTTTGTTGTTTATCGACTAATGCTTAGGGTTATTTTTAGTGGATTTTAATGCCTTGTTCTCTTTACATCTCTTAAAACTCTTATCATTGCTTGAGTTTAGATTGGTTCAATATTTGCTTGTTTCCTCTTTTCAATCTCTGGTCTATTTTGGTCTGCATGAAACTTGCAATATTCTTGGCATTTTTTTTATTGCTTCCTCTCTTCATATGCGGAAAGCCATGCTGAGAAAGTTTTGTTTTTTGGGGAGCTCAATATGAATGCAAAAGCTTGGAATCTTTGCTCATGTTGGCTAGCGGTGGGTAAATAATTTTTTATTGTTAATTATTGGTGTGGGTAAAGAACCTTTTATAGTGGTGGAATTTTTGTGTTTTTTATATGAGTGAAAGCCAAAATTTGAAGGGAACATTTATAGGACATCATTTCGTCTCTCCATTTTTAACTAGTCTTTAATGTGTAAACATGAACATTGATAGTTTTTAACTAATTGACTACTTAGATGTGCCTGATCGAAAATATAATTTATATCTCATATATTTTGCTTTTACTCTTTAAATAGCATGAGTCAGCTTAGTTTACTCGACTCATTTAAACAACTATTGTTCGTGCTTCTTAGCATACTTAGGGCTAGGGATGTAAACGAGTCGTGTTTGAGCGAGTTTGGGCTCTGCTCATGTTCGGCTCGTTTAAAATTCAACATATTTGGATTCAACTCATGTTTGAAATAGCTCGAAAAATAGTCTGTTCGTGTTAAGCTCGAAGTAATGTCTTGTTCGTGTTTTTTTTTATGTTTGGTTCGAAATTAGCTCGTTAGAATAAATAATTATTATAATAATAAAATTTTAAATAAAGATAGAATAGTTGGTGAATTCAACTCATGTTTGAAATAGCTCGAAAAATAGTCAGTTCGTGTTAAGCTCGAAGTAATGTTTTGTTCGTGTTTTTTTTATGTTTGGTTCGAAATTAGCTTGTTAGAATAAATAATTATTATAATCATAAAATTTTAAATAAAGATAGAATAGTTGGTGAAAAAAATCTTTTCATTAATATTTTTGTTTTAAACAATAAAACAAAGATTTACTAAAATAATTTCAAGAGCAAATTTGATATAAAATTTTGCACAATAAAAGTATCTGAATTTATTGGCCAAATAAATATATTACTTTAAAAATTTACGTATATTAAAAAAATTTAAATACAATTTAAGAAGTTACAATTTACAAACAAAATCAAAATACAAGTGAACTCTCAACTTTAACATAGAAAATAATTGTATTACACATTTACACTTGCACATACGCTCTTACATGCCTTGAAAAAATAAATACAATACATTAATCTCATCTATGAATTTATCATTATTCCTTAGTCTTTATGTTCAACGATGTAATGAGTGGTGATGAGTTAATGACGATGTCTATATAAACGATATTATTTGTACAATTGTACCTGTAATTCCTATGTAATAAGGAAAAAATACTTAATTAGAAATAAAAATATGAAAGAAACATAATAAATAAATTTTACATTGATCCAATAATGACGATTATCAAATAATGATGACGATCTTTACAAAAATGATATTATTAATACAATTGTACTAGGAATTTTTATGTATTAGGAAAAAAACCAAATCAAAAATGAAAAATACAAAAATTAGCATAGTAAATAAAATTTATAACTTATAATTATTAACTAAGGCTTAGACTATATATTATGAATCTCTTTCATCGGTTTCATGTAATAAACCATATGATTGCATTGTTTATGTGACTTATAAGTATAGTGAAATTAGAATTATTAACTAAGGCATCAATTTAAAATCCAGACTTTACTCTTGCAATCCCCCATTATGGTTTGAATAGTTGTTTGTCATAAAAAGTGTAGAAGAGTAAACAATAATTTTAGTAAACATTATTTGTTCTTATCTTCTAACTGATTGCGAAAATGGATGTCATACCAAGAATGAGGGTTTTTAATCATCATAGTCTTTAATAACTTCTTAATAACATTTTAAAAATAAATAAAGAAGTAAGAATTGTATATCTAGTAAGAGTTGTATATCAAAACAAATCGAACTAACCAACCAACTCCCCAAGAAATACAAACATATATAAAAAAAAATTAGACCGGTCAACTAACACACCAAGTAAGACAGTCATCCAAACTAACCAGAAAAGAACCAACTAAGCTAACCAAGAAAAATTCAACCCAAATAATCACCAATAAATACAACCAACCAACGAAATCAACAAAACTAGCCAACCAAGATAACTAGCCAACACAACTAACACATGAAAATAGAAAAATCAGCCAACAAAACATACTAACGAGAGAGCCAAGTAGTCAAACTAGGGAACCAACAAAACCAACTTACTAACAAACCAATTTTTTTTCATGACCCATAAATTAAACTCATATAACAAAATAAAAAAAAAAAACTATCAAAGAAAGTCAACCCACATAATCGATCAACACAACAAACCAACCAAATGGCTAACCATCCAAAATATAATTAAGTACAATACAAATAGCTGAACCAACCAACCATCGAATAATAATTGTCTAATTTTAAAAATAGGGGTGTCAAAAATTGACCTGACACTCCAAACACGACTCAAACTTGACTTGAAAAAGCTGGGTTAGGGTTGACTCGAATATTTTTTTAGTCAAGTTCAGGTCCGAGAACTCGACTAGTTTATTATTTGGGTCGAGTTTGGTTTGAATCCAAAAACCTAAACATGACCCAAATAACCACAAATGTTCAATATTGGTTTGGGCTAACGGGTCAAACTAAAGTTCAGGTTGGGTTTAGATCTTAGTTTTTGACCTGTTTATTATTCGGATTGAGTTCGGGATAACCCTATTGGGAGTGGAACCTAACCCGTTGACCTGAATTGACACCCCTAATTAAAATAATGCTCGTGCAATACAACAACAAGAACAACAACAAAGCCTTAATCCCATTACGTGGGGTTGGCTGCATGAATCTTTTTCTCCATGACGTCTTATTTAGTGTCATATTTTCATTTAGATCCAATAAAATAAAATCATTTTTTATACAATAAGCCCAAGTTTTCCTAGGTCTACCTCTGCCTTTCTTAACATAAGTCGAATCTAAACATCTACTCTCCAAATTAGATCATCAGATGGTCGACGCTTAATGTGACCAAACCATTTTAGATGACTTTCTCTAATTTTGTCCGTCACAAGAGCTACACCAACCCTATCATGGATATAATCATTTCACATTTAGGGTTGTCGGACGCCAAATTAGAAATTGTTGGTCGCTAAATTTGAAATTGTCGGTCCCTAGAATGGATATCTTGATGCCCATTTTAATTTAATTTATATATTTATTATTTTGGGAAAAGTAATATTTTAAAATTTTGAAATACAAGACCGAACCGATCTCATATTCTTTGCAATTTAAATAAACAAGCATAATACCGCAAGCAATGCATCTATCCCGAAGTGTAAACACACTACTTACCGGTAAGATTCGACTAAATAAACTAAAGAATTTATGACATCCGTTTAAGTCTGCAAAAAATCAATTTTATGTTGACCTATTTGCCGACAAGTTCTCCTTTTTAATACGAAAAATTAAATAGGGTTTATATTAAACTGATTTTTTAAAAGTTTCATATAAGAGCAAACCCCTTTATTTAATTACATCTTAGATAACCGAAGTCACCTAAGAAAACTCTCGATAAAAATCAAGGGATATTGTCTTCAAGGAGTTCAAAGAGATACGACTTTTCAAAAGATCGGATAAAGAGGTGTGAAAGGGAAATGACTCAAATTTGTAACATTTATTATGGAATCCAAAGGAAGAAGAACTAGGGGATGTCACAGATCTTGAGGGGAACCTCAGCGACTTCCCAAGCTATCCTATAGTTTGGCTTTAGTTTCGAGAGAAAGATTATTTAAATGTTACATCCTACCAATTTTATTAATTAGGGCTTACATTTATCCTAGATGATCACACAAATATCTTGAAAGATGTGAGGGTTTAGGTCGTGACAAATGACAACTTTGGGATTCTAGGGCGAATTAGGGCTTAAATTGCATAATATGATTGTGCAAATACCTAAAGAGAGAGTTGAAGATTTATATCGGACCAAGCAGACAACCTCAAAATCCTATGGCTCATTGTTTAATTCTAAAGAAAGATGTGGTGTTGTAGATCCTCACGTTGTTGCAGATTGCTGTTGTAGAAGGCTTCCCACAAAGTTAGCTCCAGGCTCCTCGGTGAAGTAGCAATAATAAAGTCTAAGGTTTAAAATGTTTAAATGACAAGTTTAAGTTCAATTATGGGGGGGGGGGGTTAAAGTTGATTAGAACGAAACCAATTAGGATCCCACAGTTTCTTCTGAGGGACTCTCAGAACTTCAAAAGGACGTTATAAGTTTAGTGACATTTCAAAGGATTTATGGTTACCTTTGAAACAATTTATTTTAGGTTTTTAAAAATGTTGATTAATTTTTGAAAAGTTGTTTTGATTTTGCAAGAAAAGTAGAGTGCACACCCATGCAATTATAATATTTTGCAATGAAAGTAAATTGCAGAAAGTAAAATGACAGAAATTAAATAATACTGTAAAAGCGTACCTCTCATCTTCTGTGCATTCCCGCTAAAACGTTAGCTTTTGCAACATGTATATAATTTTGCAGAAAATTTAAATAAATTGCAAGAGTAGATGAAGGTGTTGTTTCCTAACCTTGAAACTCCGACTTATCGAGTCCTAAAAGATCTTAGCGGACGATTTCGAAACAAAATATAACATGTTCAATTTGTCATCCGAAATATTCAAGAGATTCCAAAGTGTTCGGAGAATGACCCTGAACTGCTTCAAAGATCTCTTGAAACATTTCAAGTTCATTTTGAACTTATCATATTGTTCCATTAATTATCCAAGGTCAAGTTAAAAGGTTACCCTGCCACTCGGTGAAATTTGACATTTTAATTATCCCAAGGATAGGGTAGTCATTTGACATTTCATTTACGAGGTATGTAAGTGAATGCCTGTGAGGCAAGTTTAAATCATTAAAGATTTTT